CCTGGCTGATGCTCCACACACATCACCACAGCACACGACGGGACTCGTGAGAGGATCTCGACGGCCGACGCTGCTTTCAGCGGTGGCAATAGCAAAGCTGGAGGACCAGCACTGCGAGAGTCCAAGATCGACGAGACATTGCAGAGAAGTTCTGTTGGGTAAGCGCGAGGATGCTGGCGCAGACGTTGGCGACGGTGTCACCCGGTGTTTCGACGCTGGGCCGAGCTGGCATCCTGCAACTGGAGGTCGCTCCGCAGCGGGAGAGATCAATGAAATAGATAGAACGTGTACGATACTGTACGAAAAGACACTTCTGGTTCTCGTCGCACGCAGCCGACGAAACTTGCTTCCTGTTGTGAAGCACGAGAATGACAAGCCACTTGCGCCGCTGGTGGGCAGTTTGCGGACGAATGCCTCATCGTACAGTACGCCTCCCCTCCTTCGACGGGAGTTTCGCAGCAATCTTGGGCTCCGTCTCTCCAAGCTTCGTGCTTTGCAGCCTGGCTTAAGGCGGGCGTGGTGCTCTACGGCTCCAAGCAAGCCATCGCCAGCAACAACAAGGTGTTGTGTATGTCATGGTCTCAAGGGTGGAGCCCTCGTTTCCCAGTACAGATCACAGGGCATTGTATGCAGAGCACTCCCTAGACGTTTGGCGAATATTGACGCAGGTCGGCGCCTCACACGTAAGCCACACAGAAGTCTGAAGTAACATGAAATCCTTTTTCTAGAATAGTCATGAGCAAAATGTATAGAATGACCCCCCCCCCCCCCCCCCCCATGCGTAACAAACTCAGCAACTACTCTATATCGCCATCATCTTCTTCTGCGCCAGGCCCGTAGCTTTCATCTGAGACGTCTGAACCGCCATAATCGTTGTCTAGCCGCCCTCCTTCCGACATATCTGAGTCTTCGCCGGATTCAACGTCAGAAATGTCAGAACGGTAAGGCTCGCCGCCCTCGCCGTCAAACAGGTCCTCGTCCACGTCACACATTGAGTGCCCACCCGACTCCGACTCCTCGTCGCTGAGCGTGTCGAGAAGTAGCTCGGCCGCATCTGCAGAGCTCATCTGGAAAACGGCCCGTGTCCGGTGCATGGTCGCCTCATGAGTGTCGGGAAACAAGATTCGTACGCAGCAGTACATATATAGCATCTTTTTCGACACCGAATCGTCGCAGAGGTCGAAAGTCACTGGCAAGGTCCCGGGGTGAACGGTGTCTTCCGGCGCATGGATTTCCCAAATCCGCGCGGAGAAAATCAGAACCTGCTCGAGCACTTTGATGGTGATGAGCATGTTTCCAAAGTCAAAGTTCAGTGCCTTGTCAAACTCGAACAACAAGTTGGTCCTGTTGTCCGACGGGCCCTCGTCACGTTCCTCGGGCGCTTCGCGGGCTTTCAGGCACGCTAGGAGCGCGGCGACCTTGACGACGAACTCTTTGCCTTGCAGTGGCCCACACAGGCAGCTTATGATGTAGGCGATGAACCGATCTCCGGCGGTGCTGTTCATGTCTTCTTTGACTCTGTTCAGCGGCGGGTACCACGTGTCGTCGGTCAGTCCGTTGTGAGGGCAGTTGACTGCCAGGCAGATAGCGAGGCAGCACCGCTCATCTTGTCTAAGCAGGTTGGTCCTAACTTCCGTTAGCAAGATAATCTTGTGGCAATGTGATAGTGCGCCGCTCACCACATTGAATCCATGGTCTCTTCCGGCGCGTCTGTGGTGATTTGGTAGCCCAGCTCATGCCACCGCCAATGAAGAGATTTATATCATCAGCACTATGGCTCTAGACTGCCTTTGTTTCTGGTCAAGGCACATTGTGCTCTTCGTGCGTGTAAGCCCTTGTCGACATCCGATACCGTCTTCTGAGAAGCGAAGTTCTACGCAACCGGATTTTGCAGAAGCCACCAACAGCTCAGCGGTCAGCTTTTCGCATGAATGGCCATTTCTGTATGGTCTCTGCAATGATGCCGGGACCGTAGAGATAGTCTCAAAGTTCATAACTGTGCTGTGCATACGGCATCCATGCATGGAGTGTGCTATACATACAGAATCAAGACGGAATCATCTGCTGGCTCACGCACCAGTGAAAGCTCTGGCTTTTCGCTCATCGAGTTGACGACGAGAGCAGCCCGAACAAGACCAGACGACCTTGCCATGGGTTACACAAATTACATCTCGTCTACATTTGGCGTAAATTCCGCGGTTGGCAAACGCAGTGTCCGTCCTCACATAAGATGATCCATGTCACGCATTTCGCTCGGCAACCCATCGGCACTCCACCTCATTTCGATGGCAAGCCGACATGACGGCCAGACCTTTGAAGCGCCTTCGCCGATCAAACGGTCTGCCGCGCCTACCAAGCGACATAGACAACGCAGTCGCGGCCTTGGGCGGGAGAACCCACGCAACCGACCTCGCAAACAGTACCATACAGTCTCAGAAGGCACCAGTCAGTAAGGAGAAACGTCTGGAAGAACTCGTGAGAGACTCCGGTCGCCTCAGGCAAGAACTTGACTATTGGAAAAGCTTGGCTCTCACAGGAACCGCCTTCATGTCCGACGTCGAGCAAGTTGTGGTACAGCTTCGAGATATTTTCAGCCGTTTCGAGAGCGTCATGAATGAGACAAACACTATGCCTGCGGAGGGAAACATGGGCTCCGGCCATCCGTCCAAATCTCTACAGAAGGAAGACGTGGAGGTGCAGGCTAGAGACGAGCCAGACGAGCCAGGAGTAGAGGATGACCTCGGCGTGCTCTTGGCTCCAGTCAGGCGTGGTCGAGAAGGCTATGACTTTGAGGCCGTCAAGCCGGAGTTGAAGCGGAAGCAGCCACCATACAATCCCGGAGGTTGGCTCTGATATGGAGCGCACATGGTCTGCACCTGTATTCGCCGAGTCCATGTTTATCGTGTGATATCATAGAGAGAAATAGAGAATTCATGCCCTTGCACACAACTGTACATATCACCGCTGTCATTAATGTGAATCACTTCTGTCATCAAGAGTTGAAATGGCGTCACGCTGCTGTCTGACATGGCTCAAGCCCTCCAACGTCGCCGTCTTGAGGCGTCGTAAGTGATCCGTTTCTGAAGAACGCCTGAGTGGTGTTTCCGACCTCTTCCCTGTGACTCGCTTCCATCTCTGACAGATCATGCAAATGGGATAGCCAGGTATATACTGTATATGAACGACTGCTTGCGGTTTTAGGAGAATAAAACGGCTCATTCATAGTAGCACCCGTATCTCGTTGATATTGAAAATCAAGCCTCTTCAAGCTTGTGACTGTTCCAAGCCTGGCTGATCCGCTATTCTCTTCGTCCCATATCCGACTGCGAGACGCTCCAGAATCGTCACCAACCTACCAGAAGAGATACTTCACCGATGAGCCCAAAATGCCCTTCTTAGCCAGTTCGCGCGATCAACGCGATCATTCCCGATTGCCGGCTAAACAAACTGCCACGCGTCGCACACCTTTTCAGTATATAATATATAAGGGCGACCTCTAATCATGGTCGAGCAAGATCTTAGCTTAGACTCAACCCTCTGCACGTTTTCCCCAAATGCCCAGGTCAGCGAAGGAAGTACTCGATTATGTCGTGAACATCTTCTTCACCCACAATACATGGCATGAAACAGCCGCTAAACTCAAGGCCAATCCCATTTTCTTTGGATCTGACCTTGAGCGACTTGCGCTTGGTGAAGACTGTCACGAGCTTCATCTCGCAGCTGCATCCATGGACTGGACCGGAGATATCCAACACGAAGCCAGGCTGGTCGACTCGCTGAGATGGCCGCGGTTCAACAGCTCTGGGGGCCTCTTGCGCCATCAGGGCCCGGGTCCGCGGTTTACGTTGAACATTCAAGAGGATAGGGATGGTATGGACGACCATACCAGAGTTTGAGCTTATGGTAGCCTGTTCGGCCAGAAGAGTGACGAGTTGACAACTTGCGTACTGTATTATAATAAGGGCCAGGGGTTCCTGGAGTATTTCTGCATTCCGCGCCACCAGCTGCCTTGGAAGAAACGATACATGATACCTCTGCAATATTGTTTCTTGCCGAATAGCACGAAGCCCCTCGAGTGGGTTGTGGCTGAAGATGTGAACATAAAACAGCATTGAGACGTATCATCGCAGTGCTGGTTGGCACACGAGTTTCTGCTGGAACCGATCGCGCACGGCATCTACCGCCAGCCCTGCGGTATCTGATTGGGTTCTTGTACTGGGTCCTTGTACGGAGTTGTTGCATGTGAGCGGGTAGTAAGATCTGCGAATTAACAGAGACATGCGTCCCATAGAAATTCAACCATAGAAATTCAACTTCGACTTGCATGGCTGTACCGCATGTCCACCGTCGAGCGAGATGAACTGATAACCTAACAACATATGCAAGCTCATTGAGGCCGAAGTCAAAGGTAGGATACCCGCCGGCTGAGTATTTGCCCTGGACCGTTCGGACGTCCTTGTTGGCGTTGTTTGTCAACGTAGCAAACGGTGAGGGTCCGATGGTCATCACTAAGAACCAGATACCCTTGTGCTTTCGGGTCAGTAAATAGAAATACCTTCAAAATCGTCTTTGCGGCTGCCTGGCCCGCGCAAAAACTAATGGCCATTCCCTTTCCAGCGCGCCCAATCAGCCGTGCCGCCTTAGACAAAGCGATAGTGTATTGATTGCTTCCTTCTCGGAGTGGAAGGCGATATCTTGGCAAAGAAGCCTGTTTGTTTGACATCACACATTGAATATCTGTTGTAACAGGGGCTGACCGCACGGAATCATCCCGGCCAGCCGGCTCATCCAGAAGCGGCTGCGATGCAGCATTACCGTCAGGAAGCCCCGCAGCCACGCAGCCAGTTGCAACCCAGATCGCGCTCCAGATGTTGATGGGCGTCGATTCGTGCGCAAGTACCAACCAGTCTCCTGATTCTCACACTCATCTTCGTGTTGGCAGAGCTTCACAATATTCTAGCCACTGGCCAGGTATCATCCCCCGCCCATCGCCTACGGCGCTTCCGCTTCGCCGACCCGAATCCTTGTCCGACACGCGGACTCGTGCAAGCTGGCACGAAAATCAACAGCCATCTCCACGGCCGTGACGACCATTGACGACCAGTACTCGGCACCACCTGCGCAAGTTTGGCATGCCTACTTTGGCGAAGAGCAACAGGTGCGCAGTTTGAATCATCGACATAAATAGTGCGGCAATCTCCTCAGTCACGTACTTCACATCCTGCTCCAGCACAGCCAAACACTCTGCAACACACTCAGCAAACCCTCCGATAGCAATGCCTTCTCGAACCTCCATACAGTATCTTTTGGCGCCCACTGCGGCCACGCCGACACTTCTTGACGAGACGAAGGCTGTTCAAGAAGACATGGTCGGACCGCACACCTCGCCCGCTGCTGCCATGTCACCGTCAATAAATTTCCAGCGCCAACAAGCAGACGTGGAATTGTATTCTGACATCAGAGGCCATTCCACGTCGGCGTGCTCGTTATTATCGCCTGCAAAGCTGACGTCCTCTGGGCAACCGACCTTTGACGATATGGTCTCGGTATATACACGGCAGTCCTCAGACGTCACGTCCTCGAGTATGGCTCTCCAGGAACAGATGTTCAGCGGATATCACAATGTGGGCTCCGCTGGCCTTTTGGCCCAGTGTGTCCTATCTGTTTGCATACTGCGTTTATGAAGTAAGTATCTCCAAACGCCGTGAAGTAGTGAATGGTTGCTGATTAGCCCAAGTCCTTGTTTTCTGCGGTCCATGTGCGGTCAACAATGCTTCGACGTCCCTAGCTCAGCAGTCTACGATCCAGCCTTTCTTTATGCGGCTCACGATTGCTACTGTGGATGGTATGCTGGGTGCGGAATCTGTGTGTTCAAGCCAGTGGAGCATAGCATACCGAGCGGCTCTTGTACGGAGAGCTCACATCTCCAAACCGGGTTCACTGATGGATATCTGACAAACGCGGCTGATTCGTCTCACGCTATCTATGATGAGCCGCTCTCCCCGTGGGTCTATGATCTTGATGGCCGGCCTATCTCGCAACAGGGCTTTGTTCTTGGAAACGTCGACGACGGAGGTGTTATTGGGGAGAACGTTAGACCTACTACTCTTCCAGTATCGGCTTTTCCCGAGCAGATAACCGCGTGGAAAGATTGAGAGGCCTCATCTTTCTTACTTTATTTCTTTTCACGTCCGGTCCTGCGCCGTTTTGTATCATAGCTGGTGGCATTTCGAATTTAGGATAGGATGAATGCAGAGAAAGAGTTGAGTTATGCGCGAGCGGGGATGCGGAAAGCCCATCTCTCCCACGTCAGAGCCACCGACTGGACTGTACCGACGTGATCTCCAGGCTATGAGCCCGCAGGTCGTGGTGTTCTTCATCTACATGTAGTATCCAGACTCAAAATACATCACAAATCGGGGATAGGGTCACTTTTCCACGATCGGCCTGTTACATGCATTATCAGGTGGTTCTCACATTCGTTTCAATCATAGACTTTTGATTCTTCTTTACGTTCTTCTTGAGTCAATACAAGCCTCTTGTTCCCACTTCCTATACCCCATTGGTGCCTGCCACAACTCATGGCAACATGACACATGACATCAATGTTTACACTAATGTTCCCATCCTCTATCCCGCGCTCGGAGCCGTGCTCTCGTCTCCCTTGAAACTCTCTTGAAAATCAGAACTTCTCCAACATGCTTCCTATCAGAGAACGACCAGCCGCCGTGCCGTCTAAGTCCACACGACGGATAAATTGAAGAGGCTCCACAGCCGGCGTACTGGCTTCAGTGGAGCCTTCCCATTCTGTCATTTCGTCCGCTTCGATGATGGTGCATGTATCGAGACTGCGACTGGAAGCATCCTGCTCAATCTTTGCTCTGGCAGATTTCTTGGGACGCCCTGTTTGACGTTGCTTGTTGCAGAATGCGGCGTTTGAAGCTTGGCGAGCCCCTGCCGCAGATTGACGAGATAACGGTCGGTCGCTGTTGGTGGTGTGGGGTTGGATTTGCTTCGTTCGTCCCTTCGAGACAAGCGGGGGGCGGAACGTCACTTGAGGGCCAGTCATGGGAGGCGCCGGTCGAGCTCGCTCCATGTGGGGCGACATGGAAGAAACCCATTCACTCACGACGTCGAAAGAACGCAAAGACTCTGGGGACATTTTGGTTGGCTGGCAACGCCTCGGAAGTGAAAATGCTGTTTTCGGACAGTATCTCAATGGAACACTAGAACGCCAATTTCCAGCTCATATGTACAGAATCTCCTTTTGGGAGCTCGCGTCGAAGCAGTTGTTGAATCAGCGGATCCTTCCATGATCCAGAAGCCGCTCTTCGGTCTGGGAGGGGGTGGGGGGTGTAATTAACAGAGAGCTCCTTCTGGCTTTGCTCATCGGTGCACCCCTGTTCATTTTACAGTCAGATCGTCACCCTACTGCGGTAGAATCGCAAGAGGCAATGCACCATATCCGGTCGCTCCACTTGACGGCACAAGCTGATCCATGGCCCAGAGCGACAGAAGTTTGCTCCCTCGTTCGATCTAGATCTCTGCCGTTAAGTCTACATCTGTCGGCCGCAAACCAACGAGCGGCGTGATTGAACCCCTTTCGCGACCTCGTCCGGTCCACTCATTGTGTCGGTAGCCACTCTCAAGGCCTGGCGTGCACTGGCAACTCTCGTCGTGTCGGCCATCAATTGGCCGTAGCTGAAGAGGTCCTCTTCTGCTTCCCACGTCGGACAGGCGTAGCCGTCCCACTTGACGGCGTACAGATTGATCCATCATCCGTCTCGTAGCAGCCCACGATACACTGAAGACGGGGCGCCCAAGACGCGTTGCTTGGCCGCGGTCGCTCGACGCATTCTTGCCATACCTTGATGTACTCTCCGTCTTCGAAGACCCATAAAAGTTGATAATCGCCCAGCCAATCCCACTCGAGGGGGTACGGATCCCCACGACACACCATGGAACATGTGAGCGCCACTCGTGGCGGTGCAGATGACTTCGACTACCTCGAGGCACGAGGACCAGGCTGCGTGGACCGTCGAACCTCGCCGCACGTCATTTTGACGCGGATAGATCTTTGAGAGAGGTAGGGCTGTGTGCGTACAGCGTTCTCCTTAGGGAAGCGAACCTCTTGGAGATTGATGATGAGAGGCTAGGTTGTAGGCATTAGCCATCGTCAGATGGTCTGAATTTATACAGTATAGCTTTGTAGGCAGATGCACGTCCACCGGTGCCACGTAGCCGTATTCGCATGTGGTACATTCTCGGAGTCAAAGATGTCTTCTCTCTTCACCGGCGAAGGCTCTGATTCAGGCCTCCAGTCAGAACCACTGGCAACATCGTGTCTGCAGTGGCGGTGTCTACCTGCAACATTGCGATATTACATTTGCGCAGACCTGACAAAAGCACAATCACACTGTCTTGTATGTTTGTGCATAAGGTTGCATTGAATAATGCAATTGGATAAATAGTTTGATTTATGGCAGAAAAGCCACCTTGACTGGCCTCGCTGTTACGATACATCTTCCTACCAACGCGAGCCTCACACGAGCCGGCATATCTCCTTTACCGCCGAAATCCCCTCTAAGCAGCTAGCAAGAGTTCTCAAGAAGCCTCGAAGTTCTTCCGGACATGCCTGTCTTGAGACGGAACACCCGCTCTCAACACCGCCTTCTCGCTGCCGTCAAATTCCACCAAAATGACAGCAGTCCATTTGTTCTTTGCAATCTCCTGCATCAGCGCAGCTACAGCAGTAACGGGCACAGTTGTGCTACATTCATCGTCGGCTTTCTGCCCAGGGTCACTGGACCCTCTCCTTGTATCTGGTGTGTTCGGCGCCGTGGAGTCATCCTCGGACGTGTCGTCGGGCGTGGCGGGGTCGTTATTGTCTTTTTCGTGTCAGCAGATGCCATTGACGATACGTACTTACTGTACCGTGAAGAACCTACAATATTGACACGAGCCTTTTTCTGCTATGTTTCTGTCTCACGACTTCAACGGCCTTCTCTCTTTTCTCGAGCTCATTTTCATCGAGGAAAGAGCACCGAAGACCTGTGCTGTCAAGTGGTCCAAAGGCGGAATGCCTGTATCGAGCGTGGAATCCATGTCGTCTGAAACAGTCAGCCAGCCTGTGAGCGTGCTCCTGGAAATGAGGAAGATGGTGTGCACATATGGCTCGACAAAGATGGCGGGCTCTATGATTTATACGTTTGCGCGGCTGGAGAACACCTGATTCCTATCGGAATAAATGCTATCCGGGACGATGTGCTCCCTACTAAGTAATGTAACCTCTCCTCCCATCAGGGCTGTGATGTCACGTCTATGACTAACAGCTATTCACCTTATCACCGGCTTCGCCTACCAACTTTCTCCCGCCCTCGGTACCATTTTCTCTTACGTTGACAGTCCCGCATCTCTCCCCTTACCACTCACCCACCATACTAACACCACCTCCGTATGGCGCTCTTTCTTCTGATCGGAAAACCCCTGCGATGACCGGCCCTGGCCTACTCTCCTTCGCATTTCGCAGCATGTTCAAGACGCCCGTCTTCGTCAGACTCACACCGTGCTTCAACATCTCCGTGACGAGACGCACAATCACGCTCGGCGACTCTTGCAAAAACCTGATGCGGCAGCGTCGCCGCCCCGGGACGCTGCCAAGAAACAGTGCGAATACAACACATGGAATATCTTCAACAGCTTAGGCTCTCGCGTCAACAGGCTGATCACACTCCAGTGGTCTTGTGCGTCTGCAAGCCGCGCCAGCTTGCCGATAATGTCGCACACCACGGCATCGTCCATCTTGGCACCACGCCGCAGCAAGATCGACGCCATCACGGGGTTGCCGTGACATGTGGAAAGTGTCCAATCGAGACTTGTCGCACCATGCGAGTCGCGCTTGTCGATGTCTACGAGACCCGAAGAAAGCAGCATCTCGGCCTCCCAACGGCGCCTCTCTCGAGCCAGCTTCAGCAAGAGAGGTCCTGTCCAGTTACAGCGTGCCGATATGCAAACCGCTTCGTTTGGGTCAGCGCCCGACTTGAGGAGGAGTTCGATGAGCCGTTGCTTCGCCGATGCCGTCCTGCCATCCGTTTCTTTGACCCGGGCCAGGAGCGCTAGCTCGAGCGGCTTTTGATCGAAGATACGGAGCGCTGGGTCGGCCCCCTCGATCAAGCCGTCCAGCTCGCCCCTGCATCCGCTCCAGCCTTCAACAGTGCCAGGCGGCGGAGAACATGCCATCTTCGCACGCCATGCTGAGGGCCGTCATGCGCCATGTGTCTATCGTCGTAGGCTGGTTCACGTCGACGCCGAACTGCGCCAACTGACCTATGACCGTCTCTGGCGACGGAGACAACAGGGAGTGAATCAGCGGCGTGTCCCCGTTGTTGTCGGCCTCGTTCACTTCCATCTCTTTCTCGTCGACAAGATACGCGATGACTTCGGTGAGCCCGGCGGCGGCAGCTTGATGGAGGGCGTTGATGCCGAATTCGGGAGACTCAAGCCGTGCGCCGCGCCGAAGGAGAATCATGGACGTCTTGGCGTCTCCGCTAAGAAGAGAAAGGAAGACGGGAGTCCGTAGCCGACAGTCCGGGACCCCGTCGATATCGGCACCGTGGTCAAGGAGAAATGACACAATGTCAGGGTAGCCTTTCGAGGCGGCCAGATACAGGGCCGTAACGAGGAAAGGGCTGTATCGATGGGTCTCGGTCATGTACATGGTGGCCGGTCTGTTGTAGTCAGCGCCGGCTCGGCAGGTATGCCGGAGCGTGGCGAGAGCCACCCGCGTATCTGTGCAGTTGGCAATGGTGTTGAAAACGGCGGAGTATTTTCCCGTTTTCACATCGTTTCGGTAAAGCTTGGGGTTGAAGAACGAATGCCAAGTGCGCGAGCATCGTGTGAACCTGGACTGGACATGGGGTTCGCTGTGGTTGAAGATATGCCACGCCACGTCTAGGGAGATCGACTCTGGAGATAGACTTCATAGCGAGTGACGTCTGTCGTAGTGAGCGAGACGACGTGACCTGCGACGAAAGCGCGTCATAGCAAGAACACGAGGCAGTCACGCTGTTGTGTAGGCTTGCCGGCCTCATATCCAATACAAGAATTCAGACTTCATCCCATGGGACAGCGCTTCACGCCAGAAGCATCTCATACATACACTGCAGATCCGGAGTTGGCCATCTCGTTCAAGAAAGGTTTTGAGTTCTGCTTTTCAGGCGCTACGGTGCTTCCTCTAGTTGTGAAGAAGGCCCCGTTCATCCTCCGGGTGGACAGTACCGTTCTTCGCGAGTGGTCTCTGGTTTCTGGACACAAGCTGAACATGGCTTCAGAATGTTAGGCTATTCGGACAGGTTCTAATGGCTCCGGTCTGGGTGGACGAGGATACCAAGCGTACAAGTGGTGTCACGTCGGCTTTGGACGCTTAGCCCCCACAAGACCGATGAATCCTAAATAGGCCTTCACCATACCTCTTATATTGTCAGTGTCCGGAGATTTTCATTTGCGGACTCACCTGGCTTTCTGCTACGTGCACCTCCTACGTGCACCTCCAGCAAGCAATAACACACTTGCATGCACTACCACATCGCCTACCCGCGGATCACGTCAGGTTCCGTCCAATAGCCCGTGTCGACGGCTGGGGGCCGCAATGATGCATTCTCAAAAATGTGATCAAGGGTCTCTTTGTACCAAAATGCCTTTATCTTGTGAAATCCGTTTCCAACTCTGACCCCAATACCTAGAAGTCGAGATTCAGGGAGCCGCTGCCACTTTCTTGTTGCAGGTCATGTCTGGCGTCGAAACAAGGATGTTGCTTGCCGGCTAGCCCATCTATAGCATCCGCTTTTGGCCCTCACTATATGTCGGTTCTGGCTCGGCTCTCTAGACACACACCGTCTATGTTACAGTACCGAACACCCTATCTTCTAAGTTGCTTATGACTCAAAATCTGCGCCATATCCTGCGTCAGAACCGGCGTTGTCCCCAGCCACACGACGAGGATCCTGCTTCCTTATTACTCTATCTGTGAAATCTAGATCTGGCCTTTCGTAACCCGAGTAGGGTTTTAACCCATATACCCTGTCTATACGATCCATCAGATATTGTTGAGGAGTTTTTTGCGGCTGGTCTGCCTAGAAACGCAACTAGGACCTCGTCAATATCTAGGATGAAAGATGCTGCTCACCTGAGGAGCCTGCTTCGGCTCTCAAGATGGGCTGTCCCCGGCCCACAACAACCGCCCTGCTTCGCCATGTACCCTGTTCGCAGATTTAGTTCTGCTTTCAGCCTACGTTTGTAACGTTGGCATCCGAATGCTCACTTCGACCAGCCTTATCCGCGCGGCGTGAAGCGAAGGCCACCAACAGCTGGGTCTTTCTGCCCTCCGAATCTTCACTCTGGCATCATCCAGCTTCTGCACTACCGCCATGCGTGGGGCAGCTTCACTTGACCTGGCTTTCGGAGCGATCAGACGAGCCGTACGGCTGCACGCGGTATCTTCCATCTCTGGCTCTGCTCGCTGGCTTCAGACACTTTGATCCCAACAGACACGCTCCACAGGGGTTTTTGGAGTGATGATACGCAGCACCTACAGCACATTTATTCTCCTGGCGCTTGTGAGTGGGAAGTAGTATGTGCACACTCGTGACATGTAGGTCTCAAACATGCCGCAGTCAACATTTGGTGCAAAGAAATCATCCACAAGCATCATGGGTTCAAAGCTTCACTCAGTATTCTCACCTTTGAGAATCACCCCATCAAGTGAAATGCTTCACAGACAGATGCTTCCAGATGAACATGTGTCGACCTTCCTCCTCTGCGACTCCGACGAGGAGAGCGACAGTATCAGGAAGGAAAGGAGAATTGCACAAGATGGTTCGCATCAAGGAACGAGCTTTGCGACCAGCATAACGTCTCCAGACATCGCGGCTGGTATCAAGATCGCCTGCTCTGCAGCGGCTCGACATCATGAACCAACCAAGAAGAGCGAGGCAATGTCTTCGTACAGAGTAGCACACATTTTCGGGAAAGTCTCCGCAGAACGCTCGCTCCATCTCAGGACAGCCAGCCGCGATGGCGCGATTACCACTAATTCTTTCGACTGGAATTCGAATGATCCTTACGCGGGGTCTGCCGAGTGCGGTATCCCCAGACCAGACTCACCAACCATATGAGGGTATCGTGGTTGCTGTAGTTGCATCGCCAGATCTCCTTATGATAGACACGCATCGAGGCGCGCCATGAAGAGTAAGACAAAATCAAGTGGTTGGCGGAAGGCTGTTCTATGGGCCCCTAAATGAGGATATGGAACTTCTCGTGAGGATCTGAAACTCGTCAACATATGGATTTTGACATGGGCAACATCACACACGATTATGTTGAAAAAGACTGGTGCTTTACTGTAAACCGTTCTTCTGTCTAGCTTTTCAAAAGCTAATCACCTGCTTCGTCAGGCTCATGATGCAGAACACACACAACGGAATAGAAATTCTCCGTACGATCCGCGGTGGACATGTAAATGATACTAGATTTTCTGGGTAGTCGATTTGTATCCGTGTGCCAGCATGAGCTTCTACGCCATCTTTTGTGGCTTTCGCTCATCCGGTCTAGTTTGGGGCTGTCGCCACGCAATGCATCATCGAATTGTGCTCTTGAACTATACATACAATAAACATATGGTACGGTACATACTGCAAACGTCAATCCTATTGTCGTAGCACGATAGGGTGTCTGGTTCACTCGCGTGCATAGGATTTGGCCAGCGCTTGTTGCAGTCCATATTATCCAACAAATCATCATGGCTTCTCGTCAACAGCCACCAAATAAGATGGATAGAACCAACTTCCCAAACATCAAGAATTTTTGCGAAGGAGGAAGCGACATGTGCATCATGCTGGATACCACGCTATCTCCTCTAGAGAAGAAATAGTAACGGTAAACGTTGATTTCCTTCCACGTAAAACTATTAAAGAAGCCTTCCTTCTACTGCGAATACATAGCCAGAGGTGACCACTTTCTTTTCTAAGATTTACACGACTCATTGAAGGGAATGTTAGGTAAAGACGTTAGCCTGTAAAGCACGTCCTTCTTTACCATGAGCGTCAAATACATCATCATCATCTCAGATCACGTCTTAGCCACCTTACAAGCATGCTTTGTGGGTCTTGGCAACGTGTACAAAGGCTGCACGAAAGAGTCGAGCGGTGCTCTACCTTCGAGACCCCGGGTGACTGGCAGCAACTATCGCCGTGGATAGATACGCTTTCCATCTGACAATCGCGCGAAGGCGTCGCCGCAGCGTCAGGAGAATAGAGAGCATCAGCCACGGCAAGAAAAGTCGAAGCTAGTAGAAGTTTCAACTCATGATGTGGTCAAGGTTACGTAGCCGGCTTTCCTCAATATTAGCCCCGGGCAAGCTACGGAGGACGAGAAGAGATCTTGTGTGCCACGCGTAAGTGGTTACGCCGCACGCGTGCTGGGATTCGAGACGCCACGAACAAGAACACGCCTAGAGCCATGCGAAGGGTCATGCGCAATGGCACCACTTCGGCCCAAAGAGCAAGATGCGATTCGGCTGCTATTTGTCCCACGGAGCCTTCATTGGATCGGACGTTTAGTGCACCTCCAGCGGGCAAGCAAAAGTGGATGGGGCATGAGCTCCGACACTTTGGCGATTAGCTATAGGCAATAGGTTTGAGACGAAACTCAGATCCTCCGGACTACATTTGTGCAATACAGATTTAATATACTATATGACCTGCCCTGAACATGAGGTCCACATAAGAACCGCCAGTGAACCCCTCCTAGAACTCCTGTACTAGAGGAATTGCGCCTGTTTAGTACCGCTGTGATAATGCCATGATAATGGCAAGATTAAGTCATCTACTCACAGCGGTCAGGAAAGTCGTGCGCAAGTTAAAGAATTTCCGGATTACAAAGCTTGTGTAGATCTTGAAATTCACATCAACCGGCGGTCATAGCCGTGATAAATCGGGTTTCCTCACGTGACACGAGCACAGCAGGTGCGTCGGAAAGGAATGATTTAGGTATCGTTGCGTATCGTTTCGTATCGTCTCGTGGGGTTGTGTCGCAGCCTAGCGGTAAGGTACTGAGGGAGGGGTTAAGTTGGTGCGTGAAGCCTGAACCTCCTCCCGATCAAAAGATCTGGCGGTCGATAGTTATTCCGTGCACGAATTGTCTCTCATAGTTGCATCAATCAATTTTTCCTAACGGGTTATGTGACTATCGATGCTTTCCTTCTCGATTTCTGAATGTTCTAGAACTGTAAAATTATGGAGAACGCCGCCCCGTTCTTCCAGCTATCGCACGTGCCATGACGCGGCTGGACTAGCCTGTTTAGCGACAGCCACAAAAATCCTCTCCATCCAAATGGGGAAGGGACCCGTCTTATTGACATACCAATGCTCACAAAATCCGACGCCAACCAGATCAAGGACTGATCTTGAGACGACGGTTTTGCCCATGCTGCACCTGCAAGATGTTGGTCCATTACGCAAATTATGCTAATTGCAAGCCCCGGGGCCGTTCTCCCGTAACCAGTGGAATAGGGTGGCTGTTGGTCTGGGAAACAAGGACGAGGGAACTGGTTCAGAGGTTGAGACGATTCCCATCGCCGCTCCTAAGCCGGCGATGGGTAGCCACATCCGTTATTCTGCCACAGTCATGAGTTTAAAAGCCTCCGCCGTGCCCTCCCTTCCTGAAGAAGCTTATCGTTCTAAGTATGTCTAGCCTATGAGTACTGGCGTGAACGCAAGAAATCTGTCGACATTCTGACCTCCAACTTCTGCAAGTGGTGTTGTCGATATTGCCAGACATACTTTAAAGAGCACTTTCTAAGTCATGCATCCCCCTCCTCCCCATCTCTCCGTCATGGACATCTTCTTCCCCGGCTTCACCGGCTTCACCGGCCTCACCGCAATACTCCAACAACTTCTGAACGGAAACTTGGATGGCTACGCCGGTTTGTTGTGTATCTGCGGGATGTTGATGGTTTGCGGCAAGTTCCTGTGCAGGACCGTGGGAGCATTCGTCGATACATACCTCAGTTAGTAGCCCTTCCTAAACCCGTAACACATATTTAACATCCTCCAGCTTCAAAGGCCGATGTCCACGATCCCGACGAGGCATATGACACGTTGGATGCGTGGGTTTCCGGTCAAGCCTTTTCCAAAGATGCTAGCTCCTCGCTTGTTAGTGTTGAAAGCAGACGAGGAAGAACTCTGGCCCAGCTCAACCCCAATATTGCGGCAAAAAAAAATCTTCGGTTTACTCCTTGGGGAGAACCGCTGTGTTTCTGGTATCGCGGGCACCGTCTCACTTTACGGTGCACGCAAGACAAAGCAGCATTGTTTCCGCGCAACACAATGACAGTTTCGTGCGTTGGGCGTTCTTCACGAGTTCTACGGGAACTTATGGAAGAATGTCGCGTCGAATATCTGAAGCATTCTGAAAACAAAACTTCGATCTTCGAGAACTATAATAACGGCTGGAAGCGAACTACCACCCGAGACCTCAGGCCGATCGATACCGTTATCATGAACGAACAGCTCAAGCAGACGCTCCTTAAGGACGTCCGCTCGTTCCTCGATCCCAAAGCTCGGTCCTGGTACGCGAGCCGTGGGCTGCCACATCGAAGAGGCTACCTGCTGTTCGGCCGTCCTGGAACCGGAAAATCCAGTCTTAGCATGTCCGTCGCCGGTTGTTCCGGACTGGACATCTACGTTCTCAGCCTCGCTGCTATGAGTGATGGACAACTCAGTGCCTTGTTCAGGGAGCTTCCTCAACGCTGTGTTGTCCTACTTGAGGATGTTGATGCCGTCGGTACAACCCAATCACATGTATCCGACGCCGATGATTTTGACTCCCGATCGGAAGATTCACGAAGGTCATCGAAGCCGCACGGGACTGTTTCGCTATCTGGGCTTCTTAATGTTCTCGACGGCGTCGCATCACAAGAGGGGCGCGTCCTCATCATGACGACAAACCACATAGAGCATCTTGATGAAGCTTTGATCCGATCTGGCCGCGTTGACAAGAAGATCGAGTTTCAGCTTGCAGATGCTGACGTGACCAGAAAGATATTCAACACTGTGTTTCAACAATCGGAAGAGGAGCTGTCTGACTTGGACAACCGAGAAGACAGCAATGAGGAAGTCCGGAGACTGGCAGATCAATTCGCAGCCCTAGTGCCGGAGCTGGAGTTCAGCCCTGCCGACATTTTTTCCTTCCTCCTAGCAAACAGAGACTCGCCCTCAGGTGCTTTGGCCGAGGTGGAGGGATGGGTGTCCCGTACTAGAGAGGAAAGAGCCCTAAGACGGGGAGATTCATGGGTTCAGAGTGATTAGTTTGTGGTGATCTCTATGCTTTAGTTTCTCCTTGGTCCGTTTTCTTTTGACATCAGTCCAACTCTTTGTCATTCCTTAGATACGTCGCACGATCTTGGCCGCATAGATAGCAGCCTCTGACCGTGCTGTTGTTATACACCTTGAAACACGTTCTACGATGGATTCTAGTTCTTTGGTAAAATCGCCTTTCCCTCGCTTCTCTAACATCCCCCTCTTTCTCTTCTGGGTTTGACCGTTTGAGTTAAGCGAGCCGAGAGGTGGGCGACAGCGGAACTCTGCCCGCTCGAAATCCACTACCATAATATTACCACTCACTGTGTCGCGTAATACGTTGCGCGGCTCCGCATCGCCATGAAGGATCCCCAACTTGTGCAATTCCTTGTAAGCCATGGCAACCAAGTCAACGACGTCTGTCCTGATGGCTTGATTGGCGGAGTCGAACAGAGGCCGGCCGGCCCAGCTGAGGAACAAGAAGTGCTTGTAGATGCCACTATCATAGTAGAATGGTAGGACCAGATCTACACTTCCCAGGCATACCGGAACATGTTTTCCTTGGATCGAGCGGAGTCGATCATACACTTCGTTCTCATGCTGCAGCCGGGCCAGGTCGAGACTCTCAACGCCTTTGGCCACAAGTGTGTACCCGTAGGAGGATAGCCGCACCTTGAAGAGTGAACCGATCGAGCCGGACAGGTAAAGCGGTGCGGCATCAGCATCACGGCCGCGGTCTTCAGCGAGCTGGATACGGACGAGTCGGAGGAACTCCACACGATTGAGGTGCTGATATCCATGGTCCCGGAAATTCTGGCAGTGTCTATCCATTGGCCAACCGTTCGCCAACCCTAGGAGGCATTGCTGGGTGCAAAACGGACGATCCTGTATATTCTGCTGTTTCGGTTGGCTATGCTGCTGACCTCCTTTGCCATGTTGCGCTTGTTTTCTGTCCGAACCCGCCCTCGTTGACTTAGTGACAGCCTTTCCGTCGGTATGGATCGATCGCGTTGGAGTGGGGGAAGGAGGGGTCTCTTCTTCGTCGTCACCGCTGTCGCCTCGATGCTTTGTGTTGCTGTCGGGTTGCTTGCACCGAGAGCGTGTCCGAATCGGCGAGCGCTTGAACCCTCGCCAGCGTTGAGGTTTGTAGGGAGAGGCGCGCGGTTCCTTGCCCTTGCGCACCGTTTCGGGAATGTTCCTTAGCACGTCGTCGTACTCTACTGCCCAGGTACTAAGAGCTGCGGCGGCGTCGTGCCAGGACGAAGGAGGCGGTTCCGCGCGGAGGGCCCGAAGGATGAAGGCGAAGACCTGTGCAACAGCTGTGCCATGGAGCCTGTTCTCATCATCATCCCGAACGTCCAGGTTGGGTACGTGCACAGAATAATATACGGTGGTAGGGTCATCCGGAATGTGGAGGAAGACGAACGCCTCACCTGTACACACATATCCATACTGGATGCCTTTGCCGATCATGTACGAGAAGAGCTGAGTGACAACAGCGGCAGCGAGTGATCTCGATGCGAACGTAAACCCCTCATCGTGTTTGTTGATTATATCGCGTTCCGGCCGGATCTCGGACTCTAGACCCGTAACGACCTCGTCGCACCTCAGCTTATGGGGTGCCTTGTACTCGATCGCCACGGCAGGAACGTTTCGGCCATCA